GTACCAGAGCTGAGCCAAAAAGTTAAGCACGTTTCTTCGGGACCTACTAGTCTTAAGGTTTGCGCACAATGCATAGATTTCCAGGTTTTTTGACAGATAATGCATGGGCTAACTAATCTAATCTAATCTAATCCAACACCAACACAGCCAGTTCTTGAAAGCATCCTGGAAAATGATGGATATACCTCCATCATTTTTCTTGTCTATTTGATATATGTTTCACATCGAAGATGCGTCACACATATCAAAACGGCCAGGCCTACTGTGCAGCATTTAAGGGGCAAGATGATTCAGAATACATCGGGCCTGTTTAAATCGAAGACTTAAACACGATGCTTCAGAATCCAATTAATGGAAGAAACGTGGACATCTCGTACCGTACGTTCCGATTTTGGTAATTATATGATTGGTTGATTGTTGGAAGCATCAAAGCTAGAAAGGTTAAGTGATGCTCCATTTTCTTCTGACGGTTGGGACATGAGCACTAACTCTTGTCCTAGCCTTTTATGGCTTATGGCTATAGCGCCATTACTCGCTTTCTGAAAAGAGAAGAGGGAAAGGAAAAAGAGAAGGACAAAGGGAAAAGGATTATGTAAACTCTATGAACATAACCAATATTTTTGAATTGAAATATACAATATAGAAATGCATAACAGCGGTGGTAACTACTAGGGTCTTGTCACTTTTATTAAGGGGTTACACCACCCTAGAATACAGAAAAATGCACCAACTTCATTAATTTTTTTTTTTTTTTGTTATTTAATAAAGTCACATACTAAATTAACTTATATGGGCTTATAGTACACATAATTAGGGGTGTTTACAGTATTTTTTCATAAGGGGAAACCATGTGTGGCAGTTGGCAGCACTGCGAATTCCTGGCACTGCTTCCCGTGTAGTCCCAACAAACAATTTGAGTTGATCAACAGCTGAATAAGCTATTTTTTAGCTTAAGAAGCATGTTTTTGCCTGAATAAGCTCTTATTCAACATTCAATGTTTGTTGGGGTGTTACGCGGCCCACACTTTCTTCGTCGTAAATATGAACCTAGAACAAAAACGAGTGGTTTTTCTTATTTTATATAAGAATACCTAGAGAAGTACATACGGAGATGAAAAAAATTTGAATTTTACGCAAATAGGACTTGTTTTTGCAAAAAATCAGTTTTTTCGCTTGAAATTTGTTTCTAAAATTTTTTACCGCAATTGCATTTTTTGATCAATTGAAAAGTACTTCTCTATATAATTAATCAGAGAATGCAATCGTCAAAGTCTAGATCAAATTGAGTCAAAATTGCAGATGCTATCGTGTGGGCCGCGGAGAGAAATGTTGTATCGAAAAAAAACGCGGTTGAAGTTTGAGGTACAGATTCAGGTGCGTGATGCAAAGTTTTGTAATTTCGCTTATAACTTTCGGAATTTTAATTTGTTCGACATGGAACGAATTGTCCCTTATTCTTGACACTTTAGAGTACCTTTTTATGTAAAAAAAAAATCCATTTTTTGAAAATCCTAGGGTGGCTAACCCCTTAAGTCATGAAAAGTAACAAAGAACTAGAAAATTCTGATTCTCCAGTTTGAAGTTCTAACGACTAGGGTTCGGTGGTGGATCTTATACCAGTAACGCACCACAAAAAGGTGATCTCCCAACGTTACTGGTTTGAAAAGGTAAAAATTTACAAAATGGAACGAACTCACCAAGTTTAGCCAATTGAACCTGAAGGCTGCCTGACATGTGTTGATGTAGAAGTCCAAATTGTAGACGAAGCTTAACGAAGATCAACATGAACTAGTCCGGTTTATGGTAGTTGAGCGGAATGTCTTCCCTCGATTTGAGATAAAAAATGATCGGATGTATGTAGTCGATTTTTGATTAACACTTACAAAAAACTAATTTTACACGTGACGGAATCCATCTTTGACATAAAAGATGAGACGTAAACAAACATGTCATGTAATATTACGTACCCCGACACTGAAAACTTCGATGCTATATTTCGCGTCTGTTATGACACAAATTTATTCGCTCGCATAACACCTAAATTAACTTTAATTTTCTAAGTGTATGTGCGTTGGCAAGCCTTCTCGAGGCCAATTGTCAAGGCTGGCGCACAATAGATACGTTTTCGGGTTTTTTGACAGATAATGCATGGGCTAACTGTCAAAAAACCTGAAAACGTATCTATTGTGCGCCGGCCTTCAGGTTCAGCGCTGCGACTCAACGCTGAGGCGAATGATGGAACTAATGATGGGACGCCTCATGGAGGTTCTACTTGTCTTCGGAGCTTCTCAGCGGGAAATAGCTGGGATGTAGCACTAGATACAATGATATGCAGCTCTCGCAGGACTTCTTCTGCCTTAATGAACTCGCTGACAAACTAGAAATTGTCTCCTAGGCCTGGTTTTGCCCAGATCAGCAACCGATTATAGATAAAAAAAACTCCACGAAAAAAAAACCAACATCTCGTTTGATCACACACACAGTCTACTCCTTCTCCGTGGGCACATGATCAACCCCAAACATGGATTCACGGAAACAAAGTATAAACTGACAAAAAACGATAAAAAAGAACGATCTCACCAAGTCTGCAACAAGCCGCTGTGCTACTTTTCAGCGTAGCAATCCCAATTGTAGATAATCCACTTCTTGACACACACTTAGAAATTATTACCGTATTCGGTAATTTTTTACCGAACTTTCAACAGCTGAACGTTCGGTAATCCGTTCGGTAAACGAAATAACTACCGAACGATCGGTAAACAGATTTTTGGATTATTTGTCAAAATGACCGAACAATTCGGTGATTTTCTACAGAACAATTCGGTAGCTATTACCGAGCTTCCGTAAAACGAGAACGAAATATTTTTTTTAAATTATACTACTTTTTTCGATTCATTTATATTGAATTATCTTTTTACAATAATAGTTATTTGATTGTTTTTATTGAGAAAATTTTGTCAGGGGGGTTTGGTGCAATATTTGAAACGGATAATGGCTGGATGAAAATAGCGAGCAGGAGATACCCAGCATATGGGGCAATCGTTTGTGCCCTCCAAGAATGGTCTTCTGACAAATAGAACGGGTGACATTGTATTTTGGATGGTAAAAACTTCTTCGGTCTATAAAATAGTAATTGTTAAATGTTTGTTGTAAAATACTTCTGTTTATAATACTGTACCTGGTTCCATTCATCAGCACTTTAAGTTAGTTTATCCTCGAAGCACGGTTCACTTATAAATAAAGTTTCTTCACGGTTTGACAGTTTGTACAAACCGAAGTTCGGTAATCTGATTTATGTTTTACGGTTTGTTCGGTGATTTTTTTTACCGAACTCGGCGATTATCTCATTTTACAGTTCGTACTGTAATTTTTTTACAGAGTTCGTTACTTAAAAAATCAGACCACCGTTATTTCGGTAAAACTTTACCGAATATTGGTAATTTTTTTATGATTTACCGAAAAATCTGTAATAATTTTCGTTTACCGATTATTTTCGGTAAAAAATTACCGAACAAGCCAAACGTAGCTGAGTGTGCAGGAACCAACATATACCATTCCGGTTCATCGGTCTGAAATTCCCCGAGTTATGTTCTCCTTTGATAGGTTCAGCGATGCGCCACACCTCCATCATAATATTGGGAAGTCATGAGTTTGTTTGAGGCTCCACCTTGGTTTCAAAGCCACTTGTAGAAATACACGCTGCTCAGGGCTCAGAAGCAGCCATTACTGTACAGCCCTTATGAAGACGAACCACATAGGAAATGTGGAACCAGCCTGGACAAAAATCACAACAGATCCATCCAATTTGAGTATCACTGCTCAGACTTCATGGTTCAGATTTACACTTCACAAACTTCGGGTCTCTATTTGATTGACTTCTAGTTGTAGAACCAAAGTCTTGATATCCTCAAAAAAAAATTCACTCGAGCTTCTCAGATAATGGATGGGCTAACTGTCAAAAAACCAGAAAACTTATCCATTGTGCGCCGGCCTTAAGAGTTACCTCTATGCTACAAGGCACCAATCACCATAACCTTTTTTGCAGTAGCAGCGCATTTTGGCTGTCAAGGAGGTTACTTTTCACCCCATCTAGTAAAACCTTAAACCCCTATGCAACATTTGTCTTATAGCGAATTCGTTTATTATTCAGTTCCAACCAGGATCGGATATCAAGATTGGGTCTGCTTGTTTTCTGACAAACGTCAGTTTGTTCGTTTGTTTATAAAACCTAGCTCAGGTTGAGGTTCGCACTGACAAAAAGTTCGGTTTCGCACTGGGTTGGAACTGGTTCCAACCTCGATAATACACGAATTCGCTATTAGATTTTCCGGATAGTTGTGAAGCCTTGCACTGATAAATTGCTATTCTTATTTTGCTTGAAATTTAATCAATTTGACATTAAACTCAGTTTAATCATATCGAATGATTAAAAATTAATCCTCTCTTTCTAAAATATAAGCATTTGATATTATTCCCAGTTTAATCATGGTTGATTAGATTGTAGATTATCTTTTTTTTTTGAATAAATTTTAATCAGTTTTGATTCTATTTTAATATTTTTTTATTGAATTTTAATCATTTTTGATTATATATATCAGTATTGAAAAAGACTAAAATTTAATACTGGAAAGATTATTTCGATTTTAATCATGCATGACTACTGCCGAAGTAATCATGGCTCGGACTCAATAAGGTGAAGCGGGAATCTGCATACTTTTTAAGCTTTTTTGATTTAATTTATCTTTGAGTGTGAACGTGATCAAGTTTACAATTTATTAAAAATTGTGGAAACGTTTAAAACAAAATAAAATTGTATTGCCAAAATTAGACCCTTAATGTATTTAATACAATCGGTGAAACTTATATAACGCCACAGTTTTGAACGCATCGATCATTTTATATGGATTGAATAATACTTATAAATATGTACAATGCTTCATTCCTTCACAGTGCAACAATCAACACGTACTAACGACCTGCATTTTCCATTTTAATTTCAGTGACTCCTTCCAGTCGGAGCTGATGCGCCAAACCTGGCCGGAACTGTTTATGATCGGTCTGGCCCAGAGCAGCGGTCAGCTGTCGTTCAACACGGTGATGCTGGCCCTGATCCAGTACATGAAGAACCTCATCCTGAACAAAAAATACGGCAGCGAAATCATCAACTATCTTACCAAGTACATCCTCCTAATACAGGAGTTCGTTTCGGAAATCCAGAAAATGAACCTCACCGATCAGGAGTTTGCCTACATGCGGTTGCTGTGCATCTTCAATCCAGGTAAAATTCAAAAATATTTTTTTTTTTAAACAAGATCCAAGACTCAATAACGATCCCCTGTTTCCAACCAACAGACAACATCCTGCAGGACAACGTGAAAAACCAACACCTGACCAAAATTCAGGACATGGTACTGACCAGCTTCCGCGATTACTACAAACAGAAGCACAGCCGGCTAATGGCGAGCCGAAGCGAGGAGAACATCCGCGGTGGTCAGGATGAAGACGACGATTACTACGAATCTAGTCATCACCAGCAGCAGCGACAGCAGCGGCAAAACCTGGAGCAACGGTTGGTGACGATACTGATGAAGCTGCCGACCCTGCGTGCCTTAAATTCGAAAAAGGACCTCGAGGATCTCTTCTTCAGCACCCTGATCGGACAGGTGCAGATCGAAAGCGTGCTGATGTACATCCTGCAGACCAACGATGGAGCAACTTCGTTCTCCAACCTGGTGCGGAATTACGCGGCCAGCTCGATGCCGGCCGGTTCCGGAGGGTCTCACATGGATAGCGATGACTGAGAGTATTGATTTCAACCATTGGCATTAGTATGTTTTAACCACCGAGAGAGAAAGGTAGAATTCACGGCCTAGAAGGAGAGAAAAGAAAAACGAAGATGGAAACCGTTATACAGATCTTATTGACCTCTTGACTGATTACAAAAGAAATGAAAACAAAGAAAACAGCTTGAATTTTGCTACCAGAATATACAGCGTGGCTCCTCCGAAAGCCAAACATAGAATCAAAAGTCTCTTCCAAAGTCTGCATATTGAAGGTTTTAAATTACTTACATGTTGGAAAAAAAAAAGTACCGTAAAATTGTTTTTTTTTTCTGTAGAAAACATCTTAGTTCTATAAGCAGCATTCATATATTATACAAGTATTAATAAAAATTCACACGATCAAACAAATTAGCACCTAAGCTTAAGTCAAACCCGTTTACTTAATAGAAGGCAAGTATGTATGATAATTTGTAATACCTTCGAACAATAAGATGAAAGTTTAGAAGTTTGAAGGAAAGCTAGTAAAACTAAAAATCAGTGAAAGCAGTGTACCTGTGGAAGGTAGGAACATTTCTTTGAGAAATGCCTGTAACAGAAAAGAGAATCAAAAAATTTCAGGATTAAGTCGAGGAAAGGCTTAGGAACTGATAGCGTAGTAGATAGTTTATATATTGGACGAATAAACTTGCAGATTCGCGTATATTTTTTTCTCAAATTCATTTAATGGATAATGTTATATAAGAAGAAACAAATATAGGATTATTTATATACATTAGAAAGAAAAACATTATTGCTTTCAAATCACGGCCACATTTAAAACATTTTCCCATGCATTCTTCTTCCCTGTAGAATCCTATTCCACAACCTTAAAACCTTTTTGTATTTATAAATACCAGCAATATACCAGTCTCCGCCCATGCCCCATCCATATACCGCTCACTATTAAGAGCTATTTTTGGATCAATTGCAATATGTAGAGGAAATCGATGATATGTCGACCTAAATGCCCCTAATTTGGGTCCATACTCAGCAGTCGACTAAATTTTCAATAGCAACCAAAAATATCCATTAGTACCGTCCCATTGAAGCGTTCATCTAGATAAAATTGATAAATAGCTGATTTTTAGCGATGGGCCCAATCTTAGATCCATAGGCCAACATTAGAGCCATTTCCCCTATATACATTTGTAAACATAACTCGTTAGAAAACCCTTTCATTGGTTATTATTACTTTTGCTGAAATATGTTTTATTGTTGAGAAAAAAATTGGTGGGGTTGTTTACAAGACACGACCGCATGGTTGACGTAGACTACGTTAAGCTATGTAGTGAAATTCTCGTGCTTTTTTTTCCAGCCATTGATTTTAAATACAATTGAAGTAACCTATGATTTCAGTCGTATTTAGATATTTTGGATGTCCTACTTAGTAAAACTTGGTTAAATACAGGACCTCATAAAAATACGAATACATATTCAATTTCTTTTGGTTCCTAAATTACAATCAGATAAGAAGTATATGAAGGTTGGGCTTTCTTCAGGTGATTCCTTGAAGCGTCCAACAATGGCTTGAAATTTTTATGTGGTAATGAGATTGATCAGAAATAAGGTTTCCTCAGCGATTTTCCTTCAGAACGCTAAAAAAAAAATCATTCATGCATTCATGTTCCATCAGTTGTCACTGCTGTTGTTTGCGGTGACATCTATAGGAAGCTACACATAATCTTTTTTCCGTTAATTGTTCATAGAGGGCAGTGCAATGCAAAACATGTCTGTAGAGTCCCTCCAGGAGGCAACAATCGAATTCACCAGAAGGAACACTTTCGGAATTCGCCAATAAAACTCGTTTAACCACTTTAACTTTAACAGACCGTTTTATTCACTACCAGTCGCAACAATCGTTCATCGGCTTCTGCCTCAATAAATCCCCCTTACACCGAGGCTCTCGTGTGTCGTCGTCCATTCTCTCTCACTCTCTTTGATTCTCCCGCTCGATATACATAGGTCTCTTCCGGGGGTGGAGAATGGTTGCCATATTTACGTTTATCAACTCTACATCCCTTTTCTACTCTAACAAAAAAATAAATAAAAAAATAATCGTAGCTTCCTCCTCTACTGCTTGTTTATGCTGTATTATTAATATATCGTGCCGGCAACTTCTTCTCGCGCTTTGGACGGCTTAAAATGTCACGTTCTTCAACTTCATCGTGCAATCGCTTGTTCGGTGTCGAGTTTATCTTCAACGCTGGTGACACTTCAGGAGGATCCTCAGTGTGCTTTGTTCCCATGGTCGAATCGCTCATCGCTACAGGTGATCCCATCTTTGGTGTATTCGAATGGTCACTAGACTGGAATTTTTTTGAAGTGGACTGATCGAGTTCAGTGTCAATCATCGATGGCCACTTTTTTAGATGAGAAACAGGGCGGCGGTACAAAACTCCTTCTTTGTTTGTGACAATCGCATCATTTCCACTCTTTTTGACCACCGTAAACTTGTCTAGTTTGAACTTAGATTCGAGTTTTCCGGTTTCATAATTTTTCAACATAACATCATCTCCAACGTCGATCTCTGACGGTTTTGCGTGTCTTCGATGGTCCGCGTAAAGCTTTCCCTTCATCTTCTTGATCGCGTCATTATCCCGAGCTTCTTCATCCCGACTCCAATATGGCTCGGTTCTCAGAGATGGAAGAAGATCTTTAACCGGTCTACCGGTCATCAGTTCCATTGGTGCTTTACCCGTTACCGAATGAGGTGTTGTGTTGTATGCATATACATAGTCCCGGATCGCTTTGCGCCAATCTGCATTAATTGCTTTAGCAATGCGCAAGGTTCGCAAAATGCCTTGATTCTGCCTTTCCACTAGGCCATTCATTTGTGGCCAATATGGGATCGTACGTATTAGCCGGATATTTTTCCTTGCGCAGTAATTAGAGAACTCTTCGCTGGAAAAAGGTGGCCCATTATCGCTTCGAATTGTCTCCGGGTATGTCTGCTCTAGGAAAATGGCTTCAAGGACATCGATTGTCTTAACTGCGTTGGTGCCCTTCATCTCAATAACCTTAAGGAAGCGGCTGTAGTAGTCGACGGTTACAAGGAACGTTGCACACTCTTTGGCCGTGAAGAAATCAATTGCAATTTCTTGCCATGCTCGATCTGGCATTTCCTTTCGCAACATGGGTTACGGTGGGCCTTGTGAGCTAACTGCTGCGCATCCAGCACACTCTTGAATGTAGTCCGCGACATCTCGGTCCATGTACGGCCACCACACTTTTTCCCTAAGAATCCGCCGCATGGTGACTACTCCTGGGTGTCCACGATGAGCTATTGCCAATGCTTTCCTCCGTAGGTTTGACGGAAGGACAATCCTATCGTCTCTCACTACGATGCCGTCAATGATACCCAATTCTTTTGAAAAAGCTTGGTAGCGGAAAAGATCCGATGGCCAGTCCTGGCTATGGATTGCCTTTATTACTGCACACAGGACCTCATCCCGACTCGTTTCGCTTCTAATTTCCTGCAAACCGATGGCTGTTGAACCCTCTCCTAGTGCACACAGATAATGCTCAGAGCTTTCGTCGAAGGGTAGCTCTGATTGTTCGCATAATCTCGAAAGGATGTCTGAAATGTTGGTAGATCCTGGAATGTGCTTCACACAAAAATCATACGGCTGGAGACGCAACGCCCATCCTTCAGCCCTTGAACAAGCACGCTTGCCTTGCTGATGCTTTCCTTCAAAGATGTATTCCAATGTTTTGTGGTCAGTAAATATTGTAAAACGGGTACCAAACAAATATGGATAGAATTTTTCGACAGCCCACACAACGGCTAACGCTTCGCGCTGCGTTTGTGGGTACACTCTCTCCGTTTTGGTTAAACCTTTTGAAGCAAAACTTATGATTCTCGGTGCCTTTCCATTACTCCGCTGGGTGAGAACTGCCCCTAGACCCACCGGGGAGGCATCTACGTACAGCCATAGAGGTAACTCTAAGACCACTGGGTCCCGAAGAAAATCATTATTATTTTTGGCTCACTCAGTACCAGAACAACGGTCCCAAGCAGTCCCAAGCTATTTCACTCACCCCTGCATGTTCTGCATGAATCCACACACCCCTGATGTTATCTGTCAAACTTTCATAGCGAATCAAAACAAACATAGTGTAGTAATAGAATTTCAACTAGAATAGGGTACGTTAATCGTTTGCTTGGGACCAATAGGCTACTAAAGTGGTGAGCCAATTTAAAATCGTTAGTTTCGTATTGATTGTTGGTACAGCTCCGTCTGAGCCTTCGGATCGAAAAATCCTAATCTGCGGACCGTGTTCGATAACTCATTTCTCAGATCGTCAAAAGCCTTCTGCTGATCCTCGCCAAAGATGTCTGATAAATTGACGCAACGCCTCAGTTCGTGTTGACAAATGCGGGATAAATTGGCCGACAAAGTTGATTAACCCGAGAAAACTACGAACTTCTTCCTTAGTTTCCGGTTTTCGGAAATTTTGGATAGCGGAGATCTTCTCGTTCGACGGGCTGATTCCTGCTGCGCTTACTTTAAATCCCAAGATCTCAAGCTCGGCTACTCCAATCAAACATTTAGCTTCATTTAACATTGCATTATTCTCTTTCAGAACGCTCAACACCTCCTGAAGCCGTCCGTCATGCTCTTCCTTAGTTCGTCCCGATACGACTACATCATCGATATAAACTATGACACCTTCAATGCCAGCTAACATCTCTGACATCACTCGCTGGAAAATCTCCGGCGCACAATTGATGCCGAACATCAATCGTTTAAATCTCATTAATCCTCTGCTTGTCATAAAGGTAGTGATTCCGCGAGATTCTGGGTGCAACTCAATATGGTGGAATGCAGATGTGATGTCAAGTTTCGAAAAGACAGTTGATCCTCGGAGTTTATTTAGGAAAGTATCGATCATCGGAAGCGGATAGTGTTCACGCTGTATCGCTTCATTCGGATACTTCATGTTGATACACAACCTGATATCATCCTTTCCTTTCGGGACCACAATCAAGGGCGATATCCATTCCGGAGGTCCCACAACTGGTTCTATCACATCACTGCGCAACATTTGCAATATCTTTTCATCTACCTTCTCTTCCATTGCGACAGGGATTCTCAAATACGCAATTTTTCTCGGGGGGATACGACTGTCGATTGATAATTTTACTTCAACATTCGGGAACTTCGGAAAGGCTTCATTTTTAACCTCAATATTTTGAACCTCAAGGCCTAATTTCAAGACTTTAAGGTCCTCCGGCGTTCTTCTACTTAGGAGTGATTTTTGAGACTTTTCGATGACAAAAAATTCAGCATAATTTTTTGGTTTGGATTCATTTACCGAAATCCACGCCTCAAATATTGCAACAACGCGTAATGGCTCTTGGCTTGCATATGCCAGAAATTTGCGGTCACATTGAAACCTTTTCTTAAAAAGGGTCGCATTGGCATTTACAAGTTCGTTCCATACTTGCTCAGTGACGGTATTGATAGCTGCCCCTGAGTCTATTAAGAATTCGACTGGATGTTGATCGATTTTGCATGTAATATTTCCTTCATTTTTCGGGCTTATCTAAGGAAATGAGAAAGAAGTTTCAAACCTGCTTTAATTTCATTTTAGTTTAATTTTTTTTCACCTCATCATCCTAAATGACGGTTCAATTCCACAAAATAAGTTTATTAATTCAG